CCGGGTCTTCCAGTGTTAGAGGAAGATGAAATCCCTAGGAAGTAAACAAAGGGTCTAAAGGTGATGGTGCCGGAGATTTTGCGTCAAGGTGGAGTTTGTTATTCTATGTGACTTAAAATCTAATTGGGCCTAAGATACCTCACAGGCCAGACCAGGGTTTACATATGGGGTGGATGGTGTAACTCAGGAAAATTTCCTTTCCCTTGTTGTATCGGGTTTGAGGCTTATATAAAGGGATCATAAGGGTTTGTAAAGGGTTAAGAGAAGAACATTCACATAATCAATAAAACCCTAGACAAAGGGGTATTTGCCTCATTACTTTCTCTTCTTTCTTTGTTTACCGCTTCTTTATAGATCTTTCATAGGGTCGATATCCACAACATTGCTCAATCTATAAACTTGTAGTGATCTTTTATCTGAGAATCTGTGACAGAGAAGAGAAGGTTACCGAGGCGACAAGAGCAGAGGTGGCTAGAGCGAAGCCGGCGATTTTGACATAAGAACTATATGCTTATTTCATTTGAAATTTTATCAGTATGGTTTGACTGTTTTCATCATGTTTAGATTTTGATGGGAATAAATAGGGAAAAATTCCTAAAAAATACCCTAACTTAATTTAATTTGCTTAAAAAATACACTAACTATTTTGGCTACCCGAATAATACATGAAGTATTTATGGTTGCCTTTAATATACTTAGTCTTTCAAATTTTGTAGGTTTTACACCCTCGATTCTAACGGCGTTAATCCATTAATATAAGATGATAAACGGTGTCAATTTTGTGACAAAAAATTCCAAAAAATATCCGAACTTAGTTTAATTTGCTTAAACAATACACAAACTTTTTGGTTACCCGAATAATACACCAACTATTTAAATTTGTCTTTTATATACTCCAACTTTTTGTCCTCAAAATCTGGAAATACGATAATGTTAGTTTAACTTACATAACTGAAATATTAGAGGATGAAGATGATATCAAAAGGCACTAGGTCAAAGTGGTAGATTACTTTCTAGTACGAGCTAGCCAAAATTTCACTCAGATTCTATATTCATATCTCCGAGAGCATCAATCTCCACACAGGCTTCCTGTCAACACTTCAAGATGTACAATTAATCTARACATTCAAATAATCCATCAAAACTAATGCCAAAAATACCAGTCATACCTAAAGCATTTGAACTCCTTCGGCAAAGGTTAGTCGCAATGGTTTTGGAAGAAACTGCATAGCACCTCTAATTATAAAAATCCTATAAAAAATAAAAAAAAAACTCAATTCATAATATTACTTGCTCATACACAAATCATGCAATATTATCCAACTATTATTGTAGTAATTTACATCTGAATTTAGAAAGTTGGTGTATATAAAAGACAAATTTAAATAGTTGGTGTATTATTCAGGTAGCCAAAAAATTGGTGTATTGTTTAAGCAACTTAAACTAAGTTTGGGTATTTTTCAGGAATTTTTCCGCCAAAAGATTAACACCATTTATCATCTTTTGTTAACGGGTTAACGCCTTTAGAATTGAGTGTGTAAATCCTACAAAATTTGAAAGTCTGAGTATATAACAGACAATAGTAAATATTTCATGTATTATTCGGGTAACCAAAATAGTTCGTGTATTTTTTAAGCAAATTAAATTAAGTTCGGATATTTTTCGGAATTTTTTCCGAATAAATAGTGAAATTATAGATTAACTTTATTAGGGACTTAAGTCTCACATAGGAAGTTGTGTCAGTATATAATAATTATAGTTATATATTTGTTCTTTCAATCATTAATATTATATATAATTATGTATTTAATAAATATTATTTTAAAACATACAAAAGATGTTGACATAAAAAAACATACAAAAGATATTTTCCAAATATTATTTATTATTCTCAACTTAAAATGTATAACTATAACCGACAAACATACTGGTAAATTGTCACACACTAAAACCTAGAGCAACAATCTAAAAAATTACTGCATAAATTCTACAACTTTAACCAATCCGACCTAATATTCTTATATTTTAGCAATAATAAATTAATTACTTTCATACAAAACCATTGATTTTAACCAAAATAGTTTATTGATTTCCATGAAAAAACCTTCTACAGCTTTCTATCTCTCAAATTATTTTAAAATTAATTATTTTAAACACGTTGTTAAGATTTATACGTTTATTATTTATAATGGGGGAAAAAGAAGAGTTGAATCTCAGATTGATTTGTTATTTAACTTTACAAATCTTCTTTTCTTAAGGGATCCAAACAAACATCCCACTCTAAAAGCGTGCTTAGTAACAGAAGCATTTGTCTAAGAATCTTCCTTCTATATATCCCTTAAAACGCTCTCTCACTTCCCTTACGTGAACCCTAAATTCTCTTTATATAGCTAAATAAAAAGAGTTACAAGTTTTTGTTTTATCTTCTGTTTCTAGAACTCCCTAAGCCTAAAAAATCAGATTCCTTCATCAACTTTCTCTCCTTCTCGATTCAATTCCATCAAATTAATAGTTTCTTAATTAGTAGAAGAATATTTTTTTTTGTTTCGATTAATTCAGCTTTAATCCTTAGTTACCTGCGACTAAGGGTTAATACATCAATCAATTTTTAGAATGGATAGTCAAGAGGTTTCTATAGATGTTGAAGCCCAGATCGTGAATAACGACGATGATCAAACCCTTCCTTTTTCAATTTTTAAAAAGGCTAATCGTCCTGTTACTTTAAAGGTATGTTTGTTTATATGAAAATCTATTTTATTCCTTGATATATACTCTATGAGTAAATGCTTCATTCTTACTTATAATACACGGAGAACACACACAGTGCTTCATTAGGTTATACATATTATATACGAATATTTTCATTCAATAAGACGGATCTTGTTCTTGATGTTGTGGAGCAGTTTGAGAATGTTGTGTACACGGTGAAAGTGAAGGAACCACAAGGCTGGCCCTGGCAAACCAACGACAAAACAGAAGAACGAACCATCTTGAAGGGCTTAACCGGGATCGTCAAACCGGGAGAGATCCTGGCTATGCTCGGTCCGTCAGGGAGTGGCAAGACCAGCTTGTTGACGGCTCTAGGAGGGCGGGTTAGTGAAGGCAAAGGGAAGCTCACAGGGACCATATCTTACAACAACAAGCCACTCTCCAGAGGTGTGAAGCGAACCACCGGTTTCGTGACTCAAGACGATGCTCTTTACCCTCACTTGACCGTTACAGAAACCCTAGTCTACACCGCACTTCTCCGGCTTCCGAATTCTATAAAAAGAAAAGAGAAGATCAAACAAGCTGAGGCAGTGGTGACTGAGTTGGGTCTAGATAGATGTAAGGATACTATCATTGGAGGACCCTTCTTGAGGGGTGTTTCTGGTGGTGAGAGAAAAAGGGTTAGTATAGGGCAAGAGATTCTAATAAATCCTAGTTTACTCTTTCTTGATGAGCCTACCTCTGGTCTTGATTCGACCACGGCTCAGAGGATTGTGTCTATTTTGTGGGAACTGGCTCATGGTGGAAGAACGGTCGTGACGACAATTCATCAACCTTCTAGTAGGTTGTTCTATATGTTTGATAAGATTATGCTCCTATCAGAAGGTAATCCTGTCTATTTCGGGCTTGGATCCAACGCTATGGATTATTTCACTAGCGTTGGATATTCCCCCTCCGTAGAAAGGATTAATCCCTCGGACTTTCTCTTGGACATTGCAAACGGTAAGCCTCTAATCATGGTTTCCTTGGCGCTCAAGTAAGCCACTAAATAGTTTTTGTGTCACCCTGTTCAATCACATATCAAAACATGGATACAGGTGTTGGATCAGATGAATCCCAAAGACCAGAGGCTTTGAAGGCAGCTCTAGTGGAGGTTTACAAGACAAATCTGTTGGACAATGTTATCAATGAGGTGAAAGGACCAGATGATCTTTCTGACCAATCAATAGAGAGTCCTTGTGGAGAGACCAACCATTTTGGAGACTGGCCAACGACATGGTGGCAGCAGTTTTCTGTTCTCTTGAAGCGAGGCCTTAAGCAGAGGCGACACGATTCTTTCTCTGGCCTAAAGATTACTCAGATATTGATCGTGTCTCTCCTCTGTGGTCTCCTTTGGTGGCAAACGAGCATTTCTCGCTTGCAAGATCAGGTATTTTAGCTCTAACTGAATACACTTTTTGGCTTTGTCATTGTGTGTATATATATATATTTGATGTGATTATTATGTGGTTAATGTTGCAGATCGGGTTATTGTTCTTTATGTCATCCTTCTGGGGATTCTTCCCTCTGTTCCAACAAATCTTCACATTTCCTCAAGAGCGAAAAATGCTCGAGAAAGAACGTTCTTCGAGCATGTACAGGCTCTCAGCTTACTTCATGTCTCGAGTTGTCGGGGATCTACCAATGGAGCTTATTCTACCGTTCCTTTTTCTCGCCATCACATATTGGATGGCTGGTCTAAACCCTAGATTCGAAAACTTTCTTCTGACCCTTTTGGTCCTACTCGTCCACGTCCTTGTCTCTGGTGGGCTAGGACTAGCCCTAGGTGCGCTAGTTATGGACCAGAAGTCGGCCACGACACTCGGGTCAGTCATAATGCTCGCGTTCTTGTTAGCAGGAGGATACTACGTTCGACATGTCCCAGTCTTCATCTCCTGGATTCAATATGTATCAATAGGGTACTATACCTACAAACTGCTGATATTGGGTCAGTACACGAAGAGTGAATGGTATCCTTGTGGTGAAAATGGGAAGTTGAAGTGTTATGTTGGTGACTTCGAAGGTATTAAGCATATAGGGTTTGGTAGTGGAGTGGGCCCTGCCTTGGCTTTGGCTGCGATGCTTGTTGGTTATAGATTTGTTGCGTATCTCGCTCTGATGAGGATTGGTAAGACCAAATCTGGTTAATACTTAGTTATCTCCACTTTTTTTGTTTGTTTTTGATGTAGCACTTTTTGAGTAATAACCAATGTATAACACCAATAAGTTCTTATTGCATTATTATTTTTTCGTTAAATTGGATTAAACTAGTTGTGATGATAAATGACCAGTTATATTTTGAGAGATTTCAATCCTATATTGTGTTC